GTTAAAACCAATTTTGAAAGTTCGGTCCCTGTGGCAGTATACCTTTAACGCTGGCAGCATTTCCTCGTTGTATTGCGATGCTTATTGTTGAGCGAGGAAAGCACCAGCTCTGGGGTCACCGGTACTATCTACCAGGCGCCAACATAAATCGAGGTTGGAGGAAATAAGCTTATATTAGAAATAGATACGAAAAATACTAATATAAAATGAGTTAACTAAACGAACTTCGTAGTATTGATATTTGCCCTGTTTACATCAGGTAGTTCCTCTATTATAATGATCCTTTATTTTTCTTACTTTTTAATTTTCATATTTTGTTTATAATACCTATGAATAAAATAATAATATTCTCGCAAACCTCGTGCGCAACGTACCAGGATTCGTAATAGTGTAGTACAAAACAAAGTTTATAATAATTATTGTTGTATTTTGTAAAACAGAAATTATAGTTCTATTTATAATTGAAGCATTAACTAGGAGTCTGAAATAACATCCCTCTTTCCTAGATAATTATCGCTTAACGTTAACGTCGCAATATCAGCGTACCCTTTCTTAGCGTAAATATTATGATTTACTATTATGCAAAGCTTGGCTTGTACGCGTGATATCTTGCTCGGTAATGGAGCTAGGCCTACTTTGCGTTTGAATATGGGTGTGATGATAACATTCTCAAACCTCTCCTTAAAACATTTAACTTTGATATTAAAATTTCTTAAACGCTTCAATATATAGAACAAAGTTATCTAAAGAGATTACGTATTGCTTGTTTCATTGTTTTAGTTATTCCTCGTAATTAAAAATTCGTTAGTAAGCCTTTCCGATCAAAAGAATCTATCAACTTAATATTGTTTAATAAACGCTTTCATGAGCGCGCTTCATTAGTAATGCAAATTATCCGTATAAAAGTAATAATAAATAGAGTAAAAAAGATAGCTTATATAAAATTCTAAAGAAATTAACTTATCAGGGTACGTTGAATCTCGTTCGTCATTTCATTGAATCTTTAAAAAGCCCATTTTATTATGAATGCAAATTACAAGAGAGCTATCGACTTTAATTAAAGTACGAAAAATACTTGTGCAATATAAATCAAACGTAGGTAGCGACCATTATTTTCTTGCCCCTTAAGACCAAGGCAATTTTTTCCGTCTCGGGAGAGTGATAAACGGTCGACATGAAAAGGGGAATTCTTTACTGAATGGTGTATTATTCTAATATCATGCGACATCTTTTGAGTGTTATTTAATAGTCGCCGTAGAGAAGAAAAGAGATTTTTATTAGCGTCAATTTAGCTCGTCTGAATTTTAAATTATAACTTCTTGTGACTCAAAAGAATTTTAAATCTTTTACACTTTGTAAAGGAATATATTTGACATTTTTACATAATGTATATTAGAAACTTCGTATATAGGACACTGAGAGATCACAGTAATTCCTTTATCCGTCAGCTTCAACTTTATATCTAAAAGAATATTTATATATATACTAATATAAGTATTCCTACAGCTAATTATTATACGACATCTAAACAATTATATTATACACAAAAGCCAAAAATGGAATACACATTCAAACATAAACTAAATAACAGTTAACAATTATTTCCTACTTACACAAAAAAAAAATATCGAGAAATTTAAAATACATAGTTTGATTTCCCTTGTATTGATGAAGAAGGGGTGTGAAATAGTAAAGGCGACAAAAGTCAAGGCAGTCAATTAAACTGTTGCAAATAGCGTGTAAGAACATCAGGTCGTGTTCTTTACGCCTACATTTTAAGGATTCAATACCAAAGTACTTGCAGGAATCTATATAGCTACTATACTTTCGAAATCCTTAAAACTGAAAAACCTCAAGACTTTTTTGAATGTTCTTTATTGCTTTACTTTACTTGAAAGGCCGGCAAAGCACTCGCGGGTCCTCTGGCGTTGAGAGTGTCCATGGGCGGCGGTATTACTTAACATCAGATGAGCCTCTTGCCCGTTTGCCCCCTTTTCTATATTAAAAAAATGTATTTTTGTAGATTGCAAAAGTTGCCTAACAAAAGCATTATCTTTACGAACACTATTCTAAAATAATAAACTTTATACTTTATGACTAAATGTAAACATTGAATGCTTTCTTGCTCAATTTTCTTGGAAATTATATCAGGTATTATTGTGTATTGCACTAGTTGAAAGTTTCCTATTGCCTCACAGATGGTACTCTATATATATGTGTGTGTGCGCCTCCACGAGTTACGTTAAGTTAAAAGCAAATGCTTCAGCTTTAACTGTGCGTGACGTCTCGCAATTGGTTTATGTTCAACGTTATACGTGTTGAAAACAGTGACCTATGCATGATAATTGAAATACAGATGGTAAGGATTAAATATGATAAGGACTTGATAATAATTGTTATTACTTATTTATTGAAGCAGATAATCATAAGTACATATATATGGTTATTATTGTGTTAATTACAATATTGACCTAAATAATAAAGGTTAGCTTTAAAGTATATTCAATCATAAAATTAAAAATTAATTATAAAATTACATCTGCATCTGCCCACTCCACCGCAACGAAACGACACACACGGTTTTATTTTGTTAATGGCTCGCGCCAGAGATGCAGCTCGGTTGCGCATCGTGGCATCCATTCGTCCATCGTTAAGGCCCTATACCAGCACTAATTGCTGTATCAGTGTCTCGGGGTGGACTGCGGGGCGCAGTTGAGAGCTGAAGTGAGTGCTCCTCAGTAGGCGCGCTGGCCCGTAATAACAATTACTTATGTAAAACATTAAATTAATGTATTTTTTTCTGAATTGGCTTACTTGGCTTGCGATTAAATAAATCGTGTAAATTTCAAAATCATGTTCCATATACATTTTCGTCATAAAATGAAATTCAAAGTGTCAAAAATTTACTATGTTTAGATGTTCTTTGTATCGATCTTTCAAAATGGAGTCTTAAACTACTCAACTCCACCATATATTTTTTCATTCGCCCGCCCTACTTCAAGAAATAATGACGAAAAATGGAAAGAAACAATGTACCTTTTTTGGAGTTAGGCGACCATATGGGTCCTTAAGGATCCAACTTTATTCCTATTTAGTGGGATTGGCAATTTAATGAAAAGTCAAAAATAAATTAAACTACTAGACAAATATATCGAACTAAAATGAATATATCCTTATGGAAATATGAAAGATCATCTGCACAAAACTAAACGGAAAAGGAGTATTATTACGTCTGGTAAGTTTCCGGGGCTCGGAAGGGATGTGGGTAAACACTTTTATTTGTTTCTAAAACAAACGTTTCTTTCCCTTGTCACTCACAAATACCCTGTTCAGCCCTTGCCTTGCGACCTGTCACAATTTATCCTCTAAATCGGAGTTAAGCTTAGTTGTTCGCTTATTTTTATATTCGCTCGACATCATAATTTAATTATAAATACATGAGACATAAACTTTCAATGTTTTATCTTATATTTAAATAATGAGTCTTATTATCAACTTATCATTATACAAAATTACTCTGAAAACAAACTCAATGACAAATGGGAATTTGGAAAAAAATAGAATTAGCTTATATAAGCTAAATGCAGATTATAGGCAGTAGATAAGAAGTTATTTACAAAGATTTTAAATCATGTAACATATGAAATAATGTCGTCGACAACATTTAGTGCATCTAACTAAGCGTTATAACAAAACCAAAGTGAAGAATAGAATTAGACGTGGCGATTGGTCGTGACTTAAAATAATGCACTACCTGCAACTAAATTTATAAAAATTTTAAGCCATTAATTGCTTTTTCTTAAAATATATTGTAATTTTATATAAAGTAAATGGTTTTTAGTATAAATCATTCTTTGTACATAGTTTCACAATTAGCTTTACGATCCTCCTAAATTTCTCTCCTGCGCTTGTTTCATTAAATTGTAACTGCATACCAGACCATACAACCACAGGTTATTTTCAGTGTTATAGTAAATAAACGCTTATAACTCCTGGATTTAAATATATATGTTAGGATTATGAGTGCTATTATTAAACATACATTGATGAATGAATATTTTTTCTTCCTGTTTTTAATTTTTTTGTTCAAAATCAAATCGATAAGGATCGGCCTAACAGCTGAGATTTTCAACAAGACGTTTAAGCATTGGTCAGTTCAGATACAATTGCATAATAACGGTTTTATAACACAAGTGTATTTTCCTTAATATGCTGAAGAATTATATACAATTTAAAATTAGTTTCATATTTCTTATCCATATAGTTATTATTATACATTTACTTTAATTAATATATATTTAAACTTAATTTATAAAAGTCAATGTAACTAAACCTACTCGAACAAATAACGTAATGATGTTATACTTTATAAAACTATTGTGATAGTACACAAACTTCGCGCCTAAAAAAATTATCATGTCAACTCTTCGGTGACATAAGCTTGGAATTAAAAAAATTATAACCCAAGAACATTTGAGAACTATCCATTTGTTTTCGAAAAAATAATAATTTTTAAACTTTGTTATTGAATTTATAAAGTATTACCATAATGGATACGATTCGTAGATACGTACTAAATTAAAATATATGATTTGAGAGTAGATATACATTTCTGGGCTTGATATAAATTATTTATAAAAGTATTCTATGTGCTTTATAGAAATACTTAAAGAACGAGGAAAATGCAATACTTTCTTATGCTTGGTGTATTTATTATTAATAAATAATTTTAAATTTCAAATGTAAGGAAATTTAGCAAAGAAACTATCTGTAATATTCTGTAAAGAGAGGCTCCGATGCGAACAATAAATCTATCTAGAATTCGAGAAACTCTCAACGGAATCCTTTAAATGAAAGATTAAATCTTTTAACTACCTTTATTCGGTAAATGAACTACATTTTTTAACCTTTAAAGCTCTTTCAAAGTATCAGTTAAGAATAAGTAAAAAAACTAGAATGTTATATTTATATTCACGGCTTATATAAATTATTTATTTAGATTATTCAGATTTCTTAGAACTGAGTGTTGTCAAAAGTTCCTCCTTCAGCTCAGGATCGGCGTCTAAGATTCTATTTGCCTCGTCTGTGTCGATTAAGGGCGCCTGTCCATGGAAAGTCTCTTCAGAGTAGACTCGATCAGGTTTTCTTAGTGTTCCAAACCACTGAAATAAACATTTTAAAATTTATAAAATCATTAAAAAGGCAGGCATCTTTTATACTAATCGGCCTATGGAGGCGGTGAAGTAGATTTGATTTAAAAAAAATATATATTTTACTCGATTTAATCTCATACAACATGACACTTACAACAGAATGTATGAATTATTCCACTGTCGTGACTCTTTTTTAACTGTTGCTTTAGGTCTCTCATGAAAACATCCTCTCCTGTCTCAGTGGGTTTCATGAACTGTCACCCTACAGCCATTACCGATACCGCCAATAGTTTAACTGATTAATAGTTTATTACAGTACTAACCTTAATATTGGTTCCTCCTCAATAAATAATGGTATGATACTTGCAAGTTGTGAATGCTATATTATTATTTTATTCATTAATGTATTTGTCATTAAATAAAGTGTACATAGGTAATGTTATTTTTACTCTAAGCTTAAGGTTTATCCTATAAAATTACGGTAAAGTTCGGACATAACATTTATGCTTAAATGTTTTTCTTTAATTACCCCCGCCTATAGACACTAACATTGCCAGAAGGGTCGCAAGCGCGTTGCCGGCCTTTTAAAAGAATTGGCACGCACTTTTCTTGAAGGCTCCTAAGTTGAATTGGTTTGGAAATACTTTAGTGGGCAGCTAGTTCCACATAGTGGTGTTGCGCGGCAAAACTGCCTTAAGAAACCATTGTGGAAAGACGGACGTCGTGGTGATACTGATGGTTTTTCATAATCTGCCTTGACGTCCGATTATGAAACTCAGCTGCAATCCGAACAACTCATCTGAACACTCCATGGTGCAGAGATACCCCCCATCTCTACGCAACTCCAAGGGATCAAGCTGCCGTAAAGTGACTGGATGTCAAAGATTCGAATCGTTCTTCGTTGAATACAGTCAAGTGGAAGGAGCTCCCGACCACAGGTGAGAACAGTACTCCATGTGGGACCAGATTTGCGTTTTATACAGTTGCAAGCGGCTCGGAGTGAAGTACCTTGGTGAGCTCACCTCGATATGTCAACAACCAGTATTGCGATGGTAGCTGTGGCTTGGTGTTTTATAGCGCTTCTTGGGTTAAAATTGGACTACATTTATTCTACCCTAGTCCGAGACTCAACGTAACAGAGTTGTGACTTCAGACATTACTTTGTTTCGGTCCTGATCGAAAACTGCCCAAGAAATACCTGCAACTTGGGCGGCCAGTGTAAAAAGTATCCCCAGTGCTATCATCCGCATAGCAATAATTGTTGCTAAGTTGCAACATATAATAGATGTGCAGAATAAACCGGGTCAGCCTTGTGGGGCCAAGGCGTTCATGGGTTTAAGGTGGGAACATCCTCCGTCGATTGACATTGATGCTCCGAACAGCGAGAAAGCTGGACATCCAGTTGCATAAGGGTAAGAATCAACAGCGGCATCTGAAGTACCCGACGAAAGGGAAATGGGCCTGCAAGGGTAGGTCGCAAACAAAGATCAAAACGCATCACAATCTTCCAACTTTTAGTGCCTCACGCGGCCGTAGAGGGCGTGTGATCGGCACAGTGCTTCGGACGACAACGCGATAATCCGATGAACCCAATGGCGGGACAAGATATACTTGGTAGTTCTTCGAATGCGAAGTCAGCACAAGGAGGTTTATTACCGTCTACAGAGTGAACAAACATATACATAGATATGATCGTATAGACTTAGGTTGTGGATTTGTAAAATGTCTATAACAATGTGTTAACGTTACTTTTTTCACTTTACCTTATCCCAAAGAAACATGTTGAAGCCAAAGTTGCAGTGAAATATCTCATGGTGCTTGTCATGGAATTCCGCATCTGGTAGCCAGGGTTGCCACCACGGAGCTTTGAAGTTGATACCAGTGTGGTCTATGATTCCGTAGTAATAAGTGTACAGAGCTATTACGTAGAAGGGTGCTGAAAATATTTAAATGAATTTTCATCGCTTAGTAAATTATAATTGATTGTTGACTGACCTATTTTTAATACCTATCTTTATATCTATATCTCGTTTATTAAATGCGTGAGTATATGTGATTACTTTCTAAAGCTCTGTGAAAAATTGGCCACTTATATTTTTTTTTTGAATCTAACAAATACTCGTATAGTTGGCTTGGCTACAATTTTGTCTTACTCAATATATATATTTATAAAGAGCTATTATTATACAATAAAGAAGCACATACCCCAGTGCACGGGTATAGTAAACAGCGGAAGGCAGGCTGTAAGCTGCACATGAAAAATCTCTATGGGATGAATGGCGGTTGCAGAGAACGCAGTCGGCTGCTTGTACGTGTGATGCAGCTTGTGGAAGTGTTTATATAGCCACCGCGTGTGGTACATACGGTGCAGGAAGTATGTCGTGAAGTCCTGTAAATACAAAAATATTGTATTTATTTATTTACAGACTATACATAAGAAAATGTATTAAAAGAACTGGAAGAAATACAGTCGTATGAATATATTCTTATTGACGAAATATCTATCTATCACTTTATCTCACCTGATAAAGAAATATAACCGGAAACTGGAGGAACAACCAGGCCCAGCCATACTCGTCAAACTGGAAGTACACCGTGGATGGGTTTCCGTTAGAGATGTACGTCGCCAGGAAAGCAGAGAATGAGCCTGTTACGAAAAGGGATATCACGCCCACCTGAAAAGAATTATATTGAAAAACTTTAAGTGGTGTTGATTTTTGTTTTTTAATATTGATAGTAAATATATTTCTGTAAAAATTAGTTTTAAATTCATATATATTATAAAAAATATTAATAAAAACCTTTATCTCATGGCGCTCCAGCTCTGGCGATAACCATTTGTTTGGCTGCAGCTTCCACTCGTGAGCGACATGACGTCGTTTCGTGTAATAGTACCACTGTATGAAACATTGTTTTAACGAAATGACAGATACACAGAATATCAACGGGCAGTTCGAAATAAACCATACTATTGACACGCGAAATTATAAATCAAAATTGAACTTAACAATAGTTTACGTTGTTGTTGAACTGAAAATAAGAAGTTACTAAATAAATAAATATTTGAACAAAACAAAATAATTTCACTTCGAATAAAAATTTTAACCAAAATAAAATACATTGGAATTAAAAGAGCGAATTCAGAGCAGACATGTTGAATACAATTGTCTCAACAACACAGGTTTTTTAATTTAATTTCCAGAACATAATATTATGTACGATAATTAAGGTTATTTTTTTTCAATTTTTAATCATTTGTTTTAGGGAGGCTAGAGCAACGTTTAAATATAGAACAAAATGTAAACTTAATAAGATTAGACTGTGAGTTGTCCTGTCCGGAATATGACAAAGTTCATAGTAATATTCGTGTAATATAAGTTAAAATCCAAACAGTGAAAAATTTGAACACCAGAACTGAGTGTCTTCCCCTTAATAGAGACTGCAATTAGTGTTATTGGACACTTTCTTATGTTAAATATCCTTTTAAGTAAATTGGGTTAGACTTATATTACTTATTAGACTTTAGTTAGATCATAATGTTCCATGATGTCTCAGTGAAGAAATAATGTATTAAAAAAACCAAAAAGAATATATTTACAATATAGTTTTAAGTTTCATTCAAAAAAGATCAGGTAAATTTTAATTAAGGTTCGAAGATTTGCTTCATAAAAGTTAATTACATCGGAGCGAACATTAAACACAATTTAACGACTATTGCGATTATAACTGTTATCTCGCAAACAAAATATTATTTGAACGTCTAGGACCTTTTAATACGCTTTATTCTGAGAATAAAAATAATTGATATCAGCAAATGATATATATAATCGTGAACTGTAGCACGATATTATTGGCGCGTCCTTTGAGTTGACATTTCAAAATTGTATTTGAAATTCTCATAACTTCACATTTATCTATAAAAGTCTATCATTTGTTTTTCATTTAACTCTAATTGGTCTAGTGGTTAGTACCCCTGACTGCGAAACCATGGGTCCGGGTTCGATCCCCGCCCTGAGACGAACATCATTGATGGCATTTGGTGTTGTGCTTAGGTCTTGGGTGTTTAATTATGTATTTATATGTCTATCTATCTATAATATGTATGTTTATCCTTCCTAGTACCCATAACACAAGCTTCACCAGCTTAGCATGGGACTAGGTCAATTGGTGTGAATTGTCTAAAAAAAAAATTGTGGTCAAGTTCTTAGTTTTGGTTGGCACAATCAGGTAGGGAAAATAGTTAACAATAGTTCATGATAACGATAAATTGGTTGATTTTTCTCTATGTGGTTTAGAAGACTCACGTGTAAAAATCCCCCTAAAACGAAGTATGTGGTATAGGACACGATGTGTGCCCCGATGAAGAAGACAGAGAAGTTCTCCATTTTTAAGTTCTTTAAGGTCAATAGGTCAAAGACTTCCGCCGTGGTGACATTACGCTCACTCTGGGAGTGGCCCGACATCTGCTTCAGGGCTGACACTAATATTACCACCCATTCTCCTAAAACAGAATCAGTTTTGAAATATATAAAAAAAGCTATTTGTTTCTAATTAACGTAAAATTTCGACGCGAAAAACGCGCTTCAATCTGGTACAGGACGAATTTTTTAAATATTATTTGAGAATGGCAACAAAATGGTGTAGCAACTTACGTCTTTGTTTTGTTATTCAATGTGTTTAGCCAATGCGGTTTCGAGAATCGAGAAATAAACGTTTTCCCTCTATATACTATACCAATTTGCCTTCTTCTACTGTACAATTGAATTAACAAAGAGGTAGGCGTTACTTTATAATACTACATTTTTATCACGCAATATTTAATTTGGGGAATGTTATCATTGTAAAGGTTATCAACTAAGTTTCTGACCACAAACTTCTTGTTACAAATACTTATACAACAAAAATATAATTAAGCATGCATTAATGCATGTAAATAATGATGAAATAGCTTTTTATTTCATCAAATTATCATTTAGATTAACCAATCAGTTTGTTTCTATGTGCAATTAACACTTACTCGTATTAAAAACGCCAAACATCGTGTGGAAACTGGCATGCCTTAAATCCAACAACGACATGTGGCAGGTACAGAAAAAAGAAACAAATTATCAAATAAAATAGATGCTGAAATATCTCAAACCCCTTGGGGGGTTAATGAACTTTAAACAATGTTTTTATGTAATGTGTTTGAAAAATATACTTTTATACCTCTTAAAGTACAACCAAACGTAAAAATGGCAAATGTCGCAATAATTGTGCTTAGAAAATTTGGTAACTTTTCAAAATACTTCTCGGCTAACTCGGCATGTTGGTCGATCCATTTCAGCCCCTCTGCGATGGGGTCCCAGTTCTTTACACTTTTTTCTACCTTCTTTGAATGAACGTTATTTGATATGCCATTTATTGACGTTTGGCTCAGTTTTGTAACCATACTGAAAAAGTTGTTTCGGCTTTAATTCTTAGATAAATATTGTATCCAGCCTATATACCTGCTGCTGCTTACCAATATTTTTAAATGTTATTGATAGTTATAATATGTGAGGACGAGATTTAAATTTAATTTGAGATAGAGATTTTTATAAGTAAAAAAAATTGTTTTGGATTTAATATAAACTCTAAGGAATGCCTCACTAAAGTCACAGATTAAACGGAAATATAAAAAATACTTACGTGTAGCCTTGAATTATTTAATTAAGAACAAATTAACTAACTGACAAACATATTTGTTATAAGTTTCATTCACAACTAAAAATAAGGTGACATGGCATTATCATGTTTTGCAAAAATTTAACCTTTATCTTGCGGTTAACAAAATATAGTTAGGTACGAAAAATTCAATAAATTATATTGGTTCTACGTATTATTAATATTAAATATCCATATTTAAAATTTTAATTATAATTATAATACAACACTTTTATCCAATAATTTAAATCAAACCTAAAATTGATATATATGTACTAAGCATATTTGTATTGACATCAGTTCTAATTCAGAGATATTCTGACGACATGGGAATCGGCGTCGGGACGTGACGACCCCATCGCCCACTGGTGAAATAACCTGTGACAGAGGTTATTTCATCAGCGCAATCAGTCAACCCCTTCCTAGTGGGAGTGCCATGCTGTTGCCTTCGGGCTTCAGCCAAATGGGCAGGCACGACCGGGGCAGTACCACTGTCTCTTAGAAAACCGGCGTGAAGTGATGCAATAGGTTCGCCTTATTGTACTCGCGTTTCGTACGGTGAGGGAGACTCCCGGAGCCCATCCCCCCCATATGAAATATGAAGGTGCAGAACAAACAGAATCTACCCCAGGGGGGTACCACACGCGCTCGCGGTGGAGAATCCCCCTCTGGGCGTCCAACACCGGGACACTCAGCACCCGGTGGTGGACGCACAGGCTGCCCTTCGTATTCTGGGGGGGGCAATTCTGCGCTCTACAAAAACAGTTATCGTTCTCGGGGCAAACGGAGCAATTCAACAAAGGCGCCCCCATCCACGCTCGCCGTGGACTTCACAAATGTTAGGGGGCTCAATTCCAATATCAACGCAGTCCACTACCAATTTTAGAGACTGCGAAGCCGGCCTTGCTCTTTCTTACCGAGACTCAGATTTCCTCCCCGGCTGATACTTCCTACCTCTCCTACCCGGGGTACAAATTGGAACATTCATTTGTGCCGCGGGCGGGAGTTTGCGTGTACGTCAGAGAGGATATCTGTTCTCGTCGCCTCGGGACGCTTGAAGGAAGGGACCTATCTAACCTCTGGCTGCGCGTAGACTGCGATGACCATCCGCGATTCTACGCATGCCTTATAGCTCCCATAGCGAAATACCGAACTGACCGACTCATTAGCACATCCAAATGGCTACAGATTCCCTGCTCGAAAGGGTTCCTACCGCTGAAATCGTGATACTTGGCGATTTTAACGCCCACCCCCCATGCCGATTGGCTCGGCTCTAAAACCCCCCCGATCACGCGGGAAGATCCTTTCACGACTTTGCTTTTAGCCTACGACCTGACACAAATGGTCCCTGCGATTACGCGAATACCAGATGTGGATGGTCATAAGCCCTCTTTTGTTGGACCTTCTTGCTGACTTCACATCCGGAGAACTATCAAGTCTCTGTTGACCCGCCATTGGGTTCATCGGATCATTGTGTGGTCCGGAGTACTGTGCCATCTACGCGCCCTTCACGGCCCCGCTCTATGGGTTGTCGCCGTATTTGGCACTATAAGTCAGCAGATTGGGACGGGATGCGGTCTTTCTTTGCGTCCTACCCTTGGGGGCCTATGTGCTTTTCGCCGGAAGCTCCAGATTCCGTCGCCGCCTCTGTCGCCGAAGTGGTTCTGCAGGGCATGGAACTCTTTATTCCATTTTCTGCGGTGCCGATCGGTGGCAAGTCTCAGCCCTGGTTTAAACGTTCTTGCAAGGCGGCCTCGCGTCGAAAGCGAGAATGCTTTAAGGCATGGGCGGAAGCGGCGAAATCTCGTGATGCCAATACCAGCGAACTTAAAACAGCATATAACTCAGCCTCCAGGTTCTTTAAACGGGAAATCACTAAGGCAAAGTCAGAGCACATTGCCAGATTTGGCGAGAGATTGGCCCAGCTCCCTTCAGGGACTCGAGCCTTCTGGTCTCTCGCCAAAGCTGTCCAAGGGAATTTTTGTCAGCCCGCCATTCCGCCACTGCACAGGGAGGATGACTCTCTGGCCCACACTGCGAAGGAGAAGGCCGAACTTTTGGGCTGTCTCTTCGCGTCCAACTCGACTTTGGATGACCAGGGAAGATCACCACCGACCATTTCGCGGTGTGATTCTTCGATGCCGGAAATCACATTCCGGCAACGTGCTGTCCGCAAAGCACTATCTTCCATGGACATTCATAAGTCGAGCGGGCCGGATGGTATCCCCCCAATTGTGCTGCGTACTTGTGCTCCTGAGTTGGCTCCGGTCTTAACGCGCCTTTTCCGGTACCTGTACTCGCTCGGCACTGTCCCGAAGTGCTGGAAGACCGCTTCGATACATCCGATCCCTAAAAATGGCGATCGCTCTGATCCGTCCAACTATCGCCCAATAGCTATATAACCTCCTTGTTCTCCAAAATAATGGAAACCATTATTAATTGCCAGCTCTTGTGGTATCTAGAGGGCCACCAGTTGATTAGCGATTCTCAGTACGGCTTTCGTCGTGGTCGCTCAGCTGGTGACCTCCTTGTATACCTTACCCATAGGTGGGCAGAGGCAATTGAGTCCAAGGGCAAGCCTTCGATTGGGTGTGGCACAGAGCACTGCTCTCGAAGCTTCCAGCCTATGGGCTTCCCGAGAAATTATGCGATTGGATCTCCAGCTTTCTGGCCGATCGGAGCATCAAGGTCGTCATCGACGGAGCATATTCCGACCTTAAACCTGTGAACGCTGGGGTCCCACAAGGCTGTGTTCTATCCCCGACCCTATTTCTTTTGCATATCAATGATATGTTGCAACTTAGCAACATTCATTGCTATGCGGATGACAGCACTGGGGATACTTTTTACACTGGCCGGGCAGGTACTTCTCGGGCAGTTGTTGATGAGTACCGGAACAAACTTGTGTCTGAAGTCGAAACTCTACTACGTGGAGTCTCAGACTGGGGCAGACAAAACCTAGTCCAATTTAACCCCAAGAAGACACAAGTTTGCGCGTTTTCCGCTAAAAAAACACCCTTTGTCGCTACTCCTCTTTTCGAAAACACTCTTCTTAAAGCCACAGCCAGCATTGGAATACTTGGCGTTGACATATCGAACGACGTTCAGTTTCGCGGTCACTAGGAGGGAGAGGCTAAATTAGCCTCCAAAAAGCTTGGTGTGCTCAGCAAGGCGAGGCGGTACTTCACTCCGGGCCACCGCATGCAACTATATAAAGCGCAAATTCGGCCCCACATGGAGTACTGCTCTCACCTCTGGGCGGGGGCTCCCCAGTACCAGCTCCTTCCACTTGACCGTATACAACGTAGAGCGGTTCGAATCGTCGACGACCAATCCCTCTCCGAGCGGCTTGATCCTTTGGCGTTGCGTAGAGATGTGGGGTCACTCTGCATCTTCTACCGCATTTACCAAAGTGAGAGGAGTTTTCGGATTAATACCTGCAGCTGAGTTTCATTATCGGACGTCGAGACAGAATACGAAATTCCACCCGTATCACCTCGACGTCCGCCGTTCCACAACTGAGCGTTTTTCAAGGCAGTTTTTGCCGCGCACCACCACTATGTGGAATCAGCTGCCCACTGAAGTATTTCCGAACCAATTCGACTTAGGGTCCTTCAAGAAAAGAGCGTACCAATTCTTAAAAGGCCGGCAACGCACTCGCGAGCCCTCTGGCATTGAGAGTGTCCATGGGCGGCGGTATCACTTAACATCAGGTGAGCCTCCTGCCCGTTTGCCCGCCGTTCTATAAAAAAAAAAATGGTGTTTCAGATTATTATCTAAAAAGCTATTGCTGCAGGTGCTTACAAACATTTTGTTAAGAGAACCTTGGCGATTTAAAAGAGTGACGGAGAGTTTATTACCACTTCTTATCCGTTCTACGCTCTTGATTTGAGAACTGGCAGTAAATGTAAATTTAGAACCATTAATATTTTTACCGACGTTCGTATACGAATAAATTATATTTATATTTTATTGGAGTTTGATTGTAAAACCAAAAAAACTGCTACTTTTTTTTTAATTTTTCACATACGTGTAAGACTTTGTAACTACTACTTTAATGTACTTATTCTGGTGTTACTATTTTTTTTTACTTGATCGCGCGGAACTCTAAATCAATTTTCACAACAAAAGAATTCATATTAGCTTTATCACCGTTGTGTGACTTGTTATGGGTCATAGAAAATAGATTGGAACATATCTATCATATAATATAACAATAATTGTCTAGTTAACTACATGCCACTCAAGAAGTATTACATTATATTTAAATTTATTGCATACTTATTTAGTTAGAAATAGATCAGTTTGCTACTTTTATGTATACGTCAATAAGTATTAGCAGAAGTACGTAAAGATTTACTTAGTCACAAGATTTCATCGTTTCCTTAGAAAATTAAATATAAATATCACGGATTTCAATCAGTCGAGAGATTGCTTGCTTCCCATAAACAAATTCACAAACTTACAAACTTAACCTTCTTTTAATAACAAACTCATTTTTGATTGCTAAATTTTTAATTTAGGTATATATTCAAAAAATAAAAGAGGAATATAGATCTGTTTTTCTTTTCTCACAAATATTCATTTAAAATTAATAAAAAAAATATCAATTATGTTATTAGCTGCCGAATTGTCGTAATCAGCCTACTTCAGAAACAGTAGTTAAGGTGTCTTTGCAGCGTTGCCTTTGGTGAGTCTTCGGGAAGACCACGCTTCAGTTCGCTATGTTATAATCAAAGAATTTGG